CCTTTGCTGTCTGTAGTTCCCAAGAGGGTGATGCTTACAAGATTTCTTTTATCAAATATTTTAAAGAAATGCAAAGAAAAGGAACGCTCTTCATTTTCTAGGGTGAAAAAAAATGAATGTAATGCATGTTTTTAAATGATGAAGCCTGACCTTATCCTGTCAGGGGATAGCAAAAATGACAAATTGTCTAATCAGCCAGGTTATCCAGTCATGACCGTACTGAAAATGAAGGTTTCTCCAATGGCTAATGATGGGACATGGATGCTTGTTGCCCACATATAAAACAGATTAATAGTCATGTGCTTGTTTAATCACATGCTAGATTCCTCTTTTTCCATCATTTCCAACAGTAGGCACAAAAACAAACAAATGAGTAATTCCTTTCAGTTATTTTTTATTTCTCTTTGCCTGTTTATTTACTGGTGACCTAGAATATAATCCTGATTGAGTTTCTAAAAGCATTCCTTTAGAAATTCTCTGTGTCAAATACCTTTGATTTTAGCATATATTCAAGCACAGCTTGGTAGTAAAAGATTTGAAAGAAAACAAATTAGCTTTCAAGTTAAATTTCTAATTCATTATTAAGTCAGATAAATCGGAATTCTGGTACAAGTATAGTAAAGCTTATCCAGATGATCTATCTTCCCACCCTGAATAACTCTCAATTCTAATTTAAACTCCACACATTCCATACTGTTATGATCATTTCTCACTATTGTGGCTGTTCGAGATCATTTTAGAGATTTCAATGCTTTGTAGATCAGAGAATTAACATTTCCCTTTTTTGCCCAACAGTCAAAATAGAAAAATGCTAACCAAACAGTTCAACAATGAACTACCTACAAGGAAAACTGTAGGCAAAAGATAGGCTGCATTTCACAGAGAGTGAGGCACCTTATCATTTTCACAAGGAAAGTCTTAATATGAGTGCAAAAGGGATGTAGTAGTAGCTCAGGACTATATGCTGGCAAGGACTGGGGGCAACAAAGGCAAAAGCGCAAGAGTGGAGGAGAAACAATCTCAATGAAGTGGGTAGGTATAACCAGTCATAATCTTGGATGATTCTACACCAGTATGTTGAACATGGGAAGCAAACAGGAAAATTGAAAATCTTAATGACAAATATATCTTAGGCATCACTGAATCTCATTCAAAAAATAAAGCACGATAAGTAACAATTACATCAAATTTAGCATTAAATAATAAATTTATATAAGCACGTCACAGAATAAGGATATTTGTCAATAGAGGGCTTCTAGTAGTTTCACTTGAAATATGTGCTGTGCTTTTCTCCTTAAGGGATTTTCTATGGGGAAAAAATAGAAGAGTAATAGAAAAAGCTGGGAGGCATTAGAAAGATAACATTGCCTGAATCCCTGTAAAAGTCCATAAATGAGGCAGGATTATTGAATATCATAAGTCATTTGACAGCATCTTAAGTCTTTGAAATAGCCACAGAGAATCAAAGCAGAATACATTTACCAGCACAGAGCTATTCTGAATGATGCATGTGTTGTGACTTACTTTGAAATATCTATCAGCATAGGGACAGTAATATCTAAGGCCCATTTTGGAAAATATTTGAATTTACTTAAAATGAGATTACATGAGAACAGTGAAATGGTTAGTGTATGGACCAAAATGTTGGCTACTTACCCATTAGGAAATTACTATGGTACATTTGATCTGGAGCTAATTAAAAGAAATCAGTGCTCATTTTTAGAGGTAAAGTCTTAAGTACGTTCTAGCTATAGTACCGTATAGAATACTTGAGGAATCACAGAGCTAACTTGGTTCCTTTTGCGTTTGTTCTGAAAATAATATAGAAAAGCATTCCATGTCTGGATTTATTAATTTGGATAAGTAGGCCTTCTTGCCATCTAGTGGTCATCTGTTCTTGCAGCCATGGGTAGATAAGATACACTAGCACAGGGGTCAGCAACCTTAAACACTCAAAGAGCCATTTGGATCCATTTCCCCCAGAAAAGAAAATACCGGGAGCCACAAAACCTACCAGGGATCAAAAAGCTCAATAAATTGCATGCCGGCAGGTGTTGCATATTGGCGGCTGTGACACATATTTTGAGTGACAAGAAGCCACAGAAGAGGGATGAAAAAGTCATATGTGGCTCCAGGGCCGCTGACCTCTGAACTAGCAGTACATTGAAAAAGTATTAAAGGTCTGTGGAGAATCATAAATGCAGAGCCCCAATTTTATACTTTGTTTTTAAAGCAGTTTCCAAATGAAAAAAAAGTAAAATCCATCTAGCACGAGAAACCTGGAAAGAAGAGAATTAAGAGAATCATTTGTGAAATCACCAAACAAGAATGAGATTGGGCTAATTGATTCTGTGTAGGGTTTTTTTTTCCTTTTTGGTTTTAGAATGCTAACGTTAACAACTGAAAGTAAGATTAGTGGGGGTGGGGAAACAAATGCCAAATCTTATTAGGCTTCAGTAATAATAAATAAGCTAATGCTTTTACAAAGGAAGGAGAAGATTGAGAAGAATTTCCCTCTAGTAATGTTTTCATCTTATTTTTGTTTTTGCTATAAGAGGTTATTGGAGAAGTATTTTGAGAAGGCCATTCCGGATTTTGCATGAATATTGATAAATGACAATTACCAGAGTCTCATCCTCTTCCACTGCCTGAGGCTATGTCTGCTGAGCTATGCAAGTTGCATACATAGTAATTTTGTACAAGGGTTTTGTATGTGGGGGCAACGAATGAGAGCTTTATTTGCATCTTTCCCATTAAAAGGAAAGACATTATTGAAAAGCTGTAGGCCAGGCTGCTATAGCAATTCCTTATAACAAAAATAAGGAATTACAAATCAATTTATTATTCTGTAAATTGTAAGTTCTAGGGTACTCTCTGTTTACACACATGAATTTTGGGAAAAAAATATTGATTTTGAGCAATAAACCTCAGACAGTCTCAAATTATCAAACCATACTTAGAAACACTGTGATTGCTATTGTACCAATCTGTTAATGCACATGCAATCCAAATCACATGACTTTTTTTTTCTTTTTCTCGAATCTCAATATTCTGCAGAAATGTGTACATTGACTTCAGGATGGTTTATCCTTTTTGGACTATGCCAAGAATCCATTTTTTCTATGTTGGACAAGCAGAGATTTTGAACGGTGATGGGCCCCCAGATAATAGAAATATGTTTCTATTGTTGTGGCCTACCAGCGGCCAGCTGAGCTGGCAGCAGATTGGGGAGGAGCATAGGCCAGTCCTGGAGTCTGGAGAAGGCTCTGATGAGGGCACTGTGTCAGAGGCAGAGATGGAACGGTCTGACAGTTATCAGCTGCCTTCAGAGTCAGACATCAGTGAGGCAGATGAATAGCTGGAGCCTATTCCCAGTGTGCGCATGCACAGAGTTGCCAGACAAAGAGAACAGCTAAGGAGCAAGGGCCGACTTGGCAATAAGGCCTCCCATAGGGAATAAAAGAGGAGTAAAAGGGGAGTGGAGTTTGCAGAAGACAATTAGTTTGCTTAATTGGTTCGTGAACCTCAGAGGCTCCTTGCCAAGTTTTGAAGATATCGGCCTGGCAGCTCTCCAAGCCAGATAAGGTCTGTGACTGTAAATCTCCCTTGAAAGACTTTGCTGGATGTGAATGAGAGGAATTCATAGTAGCTTAATAAAAAGGTTTTTGTCAGGACAAGGAGTGTGCATCGTGGTTTGTGGAAGCCTAGGTCAGAACATTCATAGAAGTTAGTAAGATGGCAGTTAAATGGAAGAGATGGGAGACGGCCACACTTTGTTGAAAGCAGAATGGAAGGAAACGTGAGGAAGAGATGAATGCTG